AAATTGTTCAAAAATCTAATTACAAGTTGAGTATAAATAAATTTATCGCATATCATTTTCATGCAACATGTTAAAAAGTATAAAAGTAAATGCTTATTTTCATATTTCTGTAATCAAAGTAGCAATTGTATTTATCAGTATCAATAAACTGTGCAAATTACATACAATATCCTTATTATTTTATGTAAGTAGTAAAATATTTATTTCGTAAAAATTATTTGCGTATAATTTGTAACATGTTTAACACGGAGTTTTGATTGCCACATAAACCGAATATGCTACCGCGTCTCTTGATATTGATTGGATGGATTTGGCTGACGTATCAATATTTACATTGAAATAATAAACTATACGTCTTCCTTGTCTCTTCTATCGCGCACTTTTCGGTAGAAAGTCTCTTCGATAGAAAGGTTCCTATTCAGTTATTAGTCTCCTGTAAGTTGGAACGGACACAATGTCAATTGTAGTAACTAAAGAAAACTTATGGCAATATTACATAAAGTTGTCGGATTACGACGCAAAATGCAAATTTTGCGAAAATAAATTTAATTATGTGTCCGATACTCAATTTTGGAATAATCATATAAAAATAAAGCATAAAATAATATTTGATCAGGAAAAAGCAACAGGACGACAAGAATGGCCATGGATATTTTTCAAATACGTGTACCGGCCTACGTTCTACGATTTTCGTTCAGAATGTCTTTTGTGTGGTGCAGATTTTTCACCTAGATTTCTATTTTTAATACATCATTTACACGAGCATTCGAACAAAGAAGTGGAGAATTACGAAAATCATAGTTGGTTTTGGAAATATGTTAGAAGAAGTGATGATTTTGAAGTAGAGTGTAGTATGTGTCCTGAAGCTAGAAACAATCTTTACTTGAATTTGACTTTATATTATCATGTAACTGAACATAAAAGCGAATTAGAAAATGCGCAACAAACAAACGACATAATTTTTTCATTAAAATGTGTTTTGGATTCAAAAGTTATAGAAATTAAAAATAACATGTGGGGAATATTATAATAATATTCAGCATCATGTAAGCTGCAAATTTTGCAAATATGACTGTCCTTACTTACATTCACAAAGCATCGCAAATTTTCGTAGACATATAAATCATCTGCATACAAAAATTTTTGATTGGGAAAAAGAACACAAGGAACAGATATGGCCATATGCATATTTTAAGTATTGTTATCAATATATTGACGATAAAGAAATATTGTACTCAAAATGTTTAATCTGTCGTGATGTTTTTGTATTTAATGATGTATTAGCAGAAACTCACTTTAAAAACTTGCATTCTGAAGATATAAAACATTTCTCAATCTATGCAAAGGACGATTGGATATTAAAATATTGTCATCAAAGTGGTGATAAGATGAAGTGAAATATTTGTTACAGAAACACGTCTGTCCAGATGTTACTTGCTCCTCTTAATCATACAATTGAAAAGCATTCGGATATATTGCAGTGGAATATGACGCAAAAATTGTGGCAAAATTTCATAAATTTGCGGAATTTTCAAGCAAGATGCCGATTTTGCAATTTTCAATCTTATTACATCGATACAACAAACTTTATTAAACACGTAAAAGAAGAGCATATTGGCGCATATAATTACGAAGAAGCAAACGGGGAAGAATGGCCGTTTAAGTTTTTCAATTATATTAACTCAACTACCGTACAATGTTGTCTTTGTAGTGTTATTCATGAATCTACTGATAAATCAAATTTGATAAAACACATGTGTGAAAAACATATTTCTGAGCAACCGGATTACTTTATCAACTACGGCTGGATATGGAAATACTGTACAAAAGTTAGTGATTTTGAAGTGCAATGTCTTTGTCAGAACAAAATATCTCTTGATGTTCCGTTACAGTATTTCAATCGTCACATTGAAGATCGACATCCGAACAGACTGACAATTAAACAGAGAACGTACGACATAGCTGGACCATCAGGAAGTCAACCTAACTGAAGGAAACAGACGGCTGTAAATTTTATTGATAGTATTGTTAATATCATTATATATAAATAATTTTGTACTTTTTTCGTATCGCGTTCAATTTACGCGTTATACATGTAATGAGCAAAGCAAGTGTCGCACAATTTCTTTTTATTAAATATTTAAAAACATTTATATAGGTTTATCCAGAGTTTAACAATGGAAGTGATGGTAACGACGTTCAAGTAAAATCACAATCGGCGATAACGGCATTCTCTTGATTTTAACGATTCAAATAAAAGTAGACGAGAATAATGGCTTAACTCTGAAAATAGACGTATTTGATATAACGCATGCTGTAACAGATTGAAAACAATTTAATAACATACAAAATTTTGTGTTATAATTGGTTACATTAGTTATTAATTTTTTATATTTTTAATTTATAATACAAGCATATTTAAATTACTTATTAGTTTTATTGGATAAATTAATAAATTCGTTTTTTGTATGTTTACTAAGATATTTTTTTAATTATTAATTTTTAATATATATTTGTATGGATTAAAACATTTTAAAGTACAATAATTTTTAATCTTAAGTTTGTTTACAAATGTATAGTTATTTATATTTAAAAAATGAAAATAAAAATTAGAATAATAGGAATAATAGTAAAAAAATTTAATAAAATGTTAATAAAATTAAACATATTATGAATAGAATGTTAGATTATGTGTAATATAAATAATGTATAAATCTTTTTTAAAGTATTACAAACATATAAAAAATTGTGTTATTTTATTATTTTTATTTATTGCATATTTAAAAATTTATGTCCACTCACATAATGTTGTAATTGTTTGCATGTTAATTTAGTTTCCGTCACATGAGTTTTGCTCATAGAAATGACACATATTTGAATGATGCGTATATAATAATTTAAATATAATTTGAGACTGATAATGAGTATAAACTTGGATATACTTATGGCATGTGATAATAATTTTTATTTTTATAATACGTATACATACATCAAAATAATCGTATAACAAAATTGTGTTTTATTTTATTATATTATGCTTATATTCATTAAACGCATTTCAATAATTTATTTACAAAATCATTAAAAAAATGTGATAGAGAAATATCCAGTTTTGGTTTATAAATATAATGACATCGTGGTAAAGATATTTTTTGTTCTAAAAATTGGCAAACCAATGCGAATACTACTTCGCTAATTTAGTGCAATTTTGAACAAATTGTTGTTGTATGCCTTGATCTTTTCTTGCTTCTCGACTTATTTTGGCAATATTAAAATACTCAAATAATTCTAAAACATTTCGTACATTTTGTTTGAAGTTTGTAGATAATTAAATTAAATTAATTGAATTGAATTGAAAGTGAATTATTAATTAAATGTTAAAAATCATTTGTTTATGTTTTTTGGGCCGGTCGTATAATTCTTTTCGTACATTTTAATTTTATAGCATTTTAGTTTTTAGCAATATCAAAGTAGTCAAACTATTCTGTTAATTGTCACACATTTTTTTTTAACTCTTTTAAAAAATATTTAACGTTTAAACAATTACAAAAGTTTAGTTAGGAATAAGTGGCAAATTAAATAAAAAATGTCTTTCTAAACGCAGATATTCCGACTGTGTAATTTTTGCTGTGCATATTGATTGATTTCTGCTATAAGTATTGAAAAAAATCGAAAACTATTAACATTGATGCGATACGATTTATGCTGTTCTTTTTCATGTTTCTAGAAAATACTTAATGTTTAAAAAATTTTTTTAATAAAGCAGAAATTTGGCCGTTAAATTAATACAAAGCGTGGATTTTTTTATCTTAAATCGATCGACCATGCATTTTTTGTTGCGCGTGCATATTAATTGATTCTATTGATTTTAAATGCTAAAAGAAATCAAAACTATTTTAGAGTTTTTAGAAGATTATTAACGTTTAAAAACGTTTTAACGTTTATAAAAATTGTCACAAAAGCTGCTAATTAAATATCAAGTGAGAAGTGAATGGTTTGTGAAATGGGCAAGCTTTATGATCATTTTTGACATTGTTGAATTGCTTAAAAAATGTTTAACTTAAACAAGTTACACATTTTATTGGAATTATTTCTTATTTTATTGAAAGTATAACTAATAAATTATTAAAAGTATCAATCGGTAGCAAGCTACTAATCTAATTTCAAGAATCGTACTTTCTTCTCTAAATATCGAGAATTAAAATTTAGTTTGTTTATTAATAAAAAAAAATAACGTTGGAAACGAGCTTATTTTGCCAATAAAATACATTTTTTCTTGTAAAGTTTTTTTTCTACTTTATTCGCATTAAAAAAATATTTTTTTTATTTTTATTTACTTGTATATGTATGAATGTATGTGTATATATTGACTGCAGTATATGAACTCAGATCTGTTGGTTTGCTAAATCCAAATAACTGTGCGGTCTAGACATCCTTGTAGGAAATTACGTTTATATTTTTTTATAGTATAGTAGACGACATCTAGGTGCAACGTGCATTGTTAATTGAACAATTGCAGTTTAGCTGACAGACAGCTATTGCCATCTAGTCGCAACGTCAGTACGTTCTGTCACAGTGCAATCACATCTCCGTGGCTTGCGTAAAGTCGCATGTTACTGCGTGATTGATGTGAAAAGGAAACATTTTTTCCGCGACTTAGCCTTGTTTTTAATTTCTTTTATATTTACGTACTTCTAGATTTGCTCGTGAGGCTGATTGACGTTGATGCGATACGATTTATGCTGTTGTTCGAGTATCGATAGACTAACATCGACCTTATGTGAGTACAGTGCGCGAGTAATGCACTCGATTGCACTCGGTCGATAAGGGAGGCGAAGAACAGGTGACGACATCGTTGTCATACTCGTGATTTCATAACACGCCATTTTCTTTGTGTAAAGTGTTGGAGCTGTGGCTTTTCACTCCGTATTTTCTACCGAGTTCCAGGTAACGCACGCAGTGTTTGACGTTTTCGTCGCGCCACCGAACGACGCGCGTCGCACGTACGTGCGTACGATGCATTTTGCGTAGCAATCGTTGCGTGATCAACGTGCTGAATCGAATCGAATAGTTGGCTCGCGTGTGACAGGTTTCGGAGCATCGCGCAGTTGAACGGATTCTGCTTGCGGTGCTACGTATCTCGCTCGCGTTGTCCCGCCTTCTCGTGGTTATTCGCGTTACATTGTGATAATATCAAGGCGGACATCGCGGAATTTCCAGAAGTGTGGTTTAACGGTGACCGCCAAAAAGTCACGCTCAAACAGCCTTCAAAAGAAAGTCATTCCTTCGCTTTTTTTTTCACGAGTGCGTTGTACATACGTCATTGTTATCCGGAGATTCGCTTTCTACATCAACGTCGTTAGATGATTCATATGATCAATCATTTCTTCAAGACACTCAGCCTCGAATTCTTGATGCTGGCATAGTTACTGCTTTATTGTTTTGGTATATACATATAATATATTATGTATATACACAGGAAGATATGGGCAGAATGCAACAACAAAAGCTGATTTTTCTTAATATTTGCAATCTAAAAGGATTTAATGCTTATTCTTTATTATTATAGAATTGTGTAAATGACAAAATTAGAAAAGCTGTTGTTAAAATATACATGATATCTATATGATAATGCAGGATGTAACAAAATATTAAAATTAGATATTGTTTGGAATTGTATCTGAAAAAACTAGATTTAAAAACCTTTCAGCTATTTTAATGTCAAAGTGATACTTAAATTATTAGTCTTGTAACATTATTAAATTATATTAAATTGTAGCAAATTAATCTTAAAAACATCATTAATTAACATCAAATAGATTATAAAGAATAAAAATTCACAATTGCTTGCAAAGATACTTAGAGTTGTTCGAAAAATTATATTTGAATTAAATTTTTAACAAAAAAAGTCGTTTCTTAACTTGTTAAAAAAGTCATAAATATAAAAATGTGTCCAATTTTTAAAAGATCTGTTATATACACATAAAAATAATTAATTATCTACTTATTAAAAAATATATTTTAATATGTATATACTTAAACTTTCATATATATATATGAATTATATTTTATTTCTTACACAAACAAAAATCTTAAAGATGATGGTATAAATTTTTAATAATAATTTTTATTTTTATATATTTTTTCCTTTCTTCTGAATTATTTTATAAATGAGTGATTATGAATCATTTAAAAGTTGAGATTAGAATAATCTATTGTTTCATAATTTGATATGATAATAAGGATGTTATTCCGTATTTGAATTAGTCATATGTATCTATTTAAATTGTATCGTAACAGTTTCTGTTCTAATTCCAAATATTTATTAGCAATAATTAATCTTTAACATTGTTTGATTCTTTACAGTAAAAAATGGCATCCCGCAAGAAAGTACTGCTGAAGGTTATAATCCTTGGAGATTCTGGAGTCGGTAAAACATCTTTGATGAATCAGTATGTCAACAAGAAGTTTAGTAATCAATATAAAGCAACGATAGGAGCAGATTTCTTGACCAAGGAAGTGATGGTAGAGGACAGAATAGTTACTATGCAGGTAATGTTCAGGTTTGATTTAATAATGTTATCCTATTCTTAATATTGTTTTTCTAAAGAAACTTTTTCTTCTACCTCAGATCTGGGATACCGCTGGACAAGAAAGGTTTCAGTCCTTAGGAGTGGCTTTTTACAGAGGTGCAGACTGTTGCGTGCTCGTATTTGATGTATCCGCTCCGACTAGCTTCAAATCTTTAGATTCATGGAGAGATGAATTTCTAATTCAAGCTTCGCCTCGAGATCCAGACAACTTTCCGTTTGTCGTGCTCGGAAATAAAGTAGATCTCGAGTCAAGAGCAGTGAGTAAAATCAATCATTATATTTCATAAATAAGATTTTTAAAATAATTTAATATTTTATATATAATATAGAATAAACTCGCCAAATTTTGACACAAAATTTATAATCTAACCCTTAATAATCTAATTCTTTTATTGTACACGTATTCTTCCTGCGTTTTATATTCTAGGTGTCGAGCAAGAGAGCACAACAGTGGTGTCAATCAAAGAATAATATTCCATACTTCGAAACTAGTGCAAAAGAGGCTATCAATGTCGAGCAAGCTTTCCAAACGATAGCTAAGAATGCTTTAGCTCAAGAAAGTGAAGTAAGTACATTAGGCGCAACAAAAAGGTATCTTGATTTTAATGCATTCGAATCTAATCTCTACATTTCGTGAATGTCGAACGTTACAGGTCGAACTTTACAATGAATTCCCGGATCAAATCAAATTGACCAACGACCAAAGAAGCAACGGCAGAGGTGATTCATGCGCTTGCTAGGTCTTGGCACGGTGGTAATATCTGGGATGACTAATAAATATGCACAGGTCAGATTGTACATTCACGTCATCCGCGCGTAAAGGACGTGGGGAATATATTGCGATGAGCTTTATGTGTGCGGGAAGTCACGAGTACTTTTTCTTTACTCTCAACGTATTATTGTACACATGCAAAAAAATCCTTCTCTGTCCATATAAAAAAATGTCTTTAATATTCTCGAAATAATTTTGTTGAAAATCGTCGTTAGTGCACAGCAAAAAAGTTAACACGTTTAATTCATACGTAAACAAATGTGTACAAACTCATATCGACATGCGTGTATACATATAATTGTTTTTGTAAACCGTATGTGGGAGGGGAGGGGGGGAGGGAACTGACTTCCTGTCCTGAGATATCGCAATTTTGAATTATGTACTCCCGCTGGACTTGACTTGTCATATATAGGTCCTCTATCTCTATGTTATTTCTTAAGTCAAGGATTCGCATTCTCGTTTTTAAGTATTATAATGCTCTCTTATCGGGTATGGCAAAACATATAAACTGTCTTTTTTTTTTTCCTTTTTATCACGGTCTTGATTTACTGTTGATCTATTTTTATCGAAACAATATACAACAAGGTTTTCAGACGATATACAGGAGTCGTTGTTGCACCAGAGAGGATAATATATGGGTCGGGAACACAGTTAGCGGTACTGTTAGCGAATTATAAATAAAACAATTTGCTCATAATTTGTTAAGTACAATTGCATTTACAGAGGAGCCCTAGTACATAGCTTATTATTCTTAGAACTGAATATTTGCTGTCAAAGATGATTCGTATGAAATAGAAGAAAAAAAAATTAAGATAAAGTTACAATAAAGTTATTAAGATACTTTGTAGTGTGTCTGGTGTAAGCCATTTTAACAAGTTTGAAATGCAGGCGGATGCATGGTGTGAGCCTCCTAAAACCATTCTTTTTTATTCAAAGTCCACAATTGTTATATTGAAAATATAAAATTATATTACAGAAATTTCGACTTGTGCATATATATATATATATATATATTAATAATAGATATATTATTTTGTTCATATAAATAATTATGTTACACCGTTTCTAGGGATGTTTATATGGCCATCTCGATTTAGAAAGAAGAAAAAGAAAATTCGTTGCAAATGTGACTTAGAAAAAAAAAAATTACCTGTTGCTGGATGTGTTATCTGTAACACTTTCTACGGAAAAATACTTTTGAAATTTTCAAGCGCTTTTGCGAAGTCCCGGATTCTTCTCTTCTGAAGTGAGATTCCTCTTCTCGTACCGCGATGCACGTCGTTTTTTAAGATTTTTTACTGTAACGGAAAACAATGAGATCCCGATGCGCGGTGAATTAATCGTCAATTGTATGGTCTATCGAATAATTCTACGCAGACTATATTTTGTAAATAAGACAACATATATAACCCACTTAGGACAATTTAACGTTATAAAAGATGAATCTTTATATCCTGATAGCCATATCAATAAGTATGCGCTTGTAATATTTTAATTCTATCTATATAGTCCTTATTAGAGCAGTAATTAATCCTAATGGCGTGTGATATTTATTTTGATGAAAGAAGCGAGCTTTTACATAGTTCATGCAGACACGAGGAATATTTACATGCTGTATCTCAGATTTTTGTAGTAAAAATAATTGTGCGCCCATTAAGATGTGTTAAATGTCTTAAGATTCGATTTCCTCGAAAAAAAAAGGAAAAGAGAGAGAGAGAGAGAGAAAGCAAGGTAAGCATACTTTCCGCAGTAGTATAGCACGATAGTATTATGCATCGCGGTACCGGTAATTGCCATCCAAGTTGCGATTGTGATCTTAGATTGATCTCCAGATTATAGATTAACTTCGCAAGTTGTACCAATTATAAACATACGATCCCTAATCCTTTGGAATTACGTTCGGTTAACGAGGATCACACGGCCATCAGTGGACGGATTGACGCTGAACGCGCGATTTCGCACTAAATTTTCCCCTGTGCGAATCTCCCACGAAAATCTCCGACTCCACACACTTGAACTGCTAAATCTGTTCCAAGCTTCGGGCTTGCATGAAATTTTCACTAAGAAGCAATCGAACTCAATTACTGATATCCGCTATTTCTGGGCAACCCTGTGTATATAATATTCTTACGAAATAGAAAAAAAAAAAAAATTTAGCGCGTGAAATATATACATATGCAGGGTGTCCCGAAAATTGCGCACATTTTCTAGATTATAGATACTGGACGCCGAACGCTGCTAATTAGCCTGATAATTGTAGAATAGCTTTTAATCGTTGAACGATTAGCATTTAAAGGGTTTTGAGCGAGTTGCGAGTTGTTTTAGAAGCGCAAGATATTTGATACGCGAGGTGCAATGAGATGTAAAGGACGACGTCGAGTTAAATTTTTACCGAGGAAACTTTTTGAATCTGTTCGAGGAATCTGTAGTCTGAGAGGTGTGCACGACTTTTGGGACTATTCTGTATATACGATGGTGGAACACCCGCAAAACACTGTCGGGTGTGCTTTCATGGGTCTACGCATATATACGTATGCACGTGTATATAAGTGAAGATAATCATGACCATGGCGATTATAATTAATGATATGTATAATTCTATCGAAGTATGTTAATGATAAATATAATTATAAATAATACTATTGTTATTATTGCTGTATCTACTGCTGCTGCACTATTGCATTCGCTAATTAATCGTAAATTGCTATTATGCATTTTTTTTAAGTGAACAATAGGTGAAGAGAAAATTTAAAATAAAAATTTTTCCGCAAAAAGAAACATTTACGTCATTTTGCAGTGAATTTATGTGCATGCTTACAAATTACTTTCTAACGTTACATTTCTACGGAAAACGGAAGCGTTTTGTAATGTAACAAAAATACAAGCGAATTATGAAAACGTCAGAATTAACGAATCTATACGATGAAGAGATAAAACTGGATCGAATCAATTGAATTTCTTCCCTGAGAAAAATCTTAATAAATTCTTTTTTTTTTTGCAGATGGAATCACAAGAGATCAAAAGTTTAGCATTTCCTGTTAACTATTAACCGTTTCTTCTACAATGTTATGTTGAAAATAATTAATACAATTGCACCTGCGATTCACATGAAGATTTATTACTAATAAGTTTCTGTCAGTAATTTCTTGTAAAGTATTTTTCTTCCGCTGCATTTGACGAATTTCATATTGCATGCACGCATGTATAGCGTATTCTACATGATAACAGTATCGCCTGAGAGTTCGGTAATCTTCTCTCGCATCCATAGAAAAGTTCTTCAGACTTTTTCCATACTTCAGTTGCTTCAGTTTCCGTACTTCCTCAAATAAAATCAAAAGCTCACACAGCTTTGATCTTCTTGTGAAGTTTGTAATTTTATATCTGAAAATCACATTTTTTGAGATTTGAAAAAAAACAAGATTTCTTATTAAATTACTATTATTAATTTATTATTTATATAGATCGTGAACATTTTTTTAAACCGTAATAATACATCACCTCAAAAAAAAGAGTTAAGGTCAGCAATATATCTTTAAAAAAAAAAATACAGAATGAAGGTCGACGCGTATCGAACACGTAGATTGATAGAGCTGCTAATTAAGATACATCGGCCGCTCGTTGAAAGCCGATATCCCCGTCATTATGGGCATCGTGCAGGCGCTTATCAGCAAACGCGACGAACTTTTCGTGACCCCCGTCGGTACGGACGGTCCGCCGTGTGTTCCCTGCTTCGAGAAGGTGGACAGGAAACCCGGGAATCCCAGCAGCTTCGAGGACCTTCACGCGAAAACGAAGGAGCTCTATCCGCAAAACTTCGAGGGCGCCTACTTGCTGCTGCGAAAGACTCTGAGCAAGCACTTCAATGTGACGTATAAAATGACGCTGAGCTCCGTGACGCCGTACGGCCTCAAGTTCGGCGTGAATTACGTCGGCACCAAGATGGTGGGATTGTCGGAAAAGTATCCGGTGATCTCGGGCGAGATCACGCCGGGCGGCAACATGAACGCCAGCTTCGTGCACACGCTCGGTTGTAGATACAGATTCAAGCTCGCGACGCAGATCGTCGACAAGAAGTACAGGGCGTTCAGTTCCGGTTTGGAGTACCGCTCGGACGACAGCACGCTCGCGTTGACCCTGGCGAATCCGGACTTCTTTAGGGGCCACGGCACGCTGGTGCTGCATTATCTGCAGGCCGTCACGCCGAGGCTCACCCTCGGCGCGGAGATCGCGTGTCTGCGCGGCTCCCCGATACCAGGCGGTCAGCAGACGGTGATGTGCGCCGCGTTCCGGCACAGCACTGGTCCCACCACGCTGTCCGCCACGTTCGGCGAGGCGGGCATACACGTCTGCTACCACCGGAAGGCGAGCGAGCAGCTGCAGCTCGGCGTCGAGATCGAGACCAATACGCGAATCCATGAATCCGTGGGCGCAATCGTGTACCGGGTCGACATACCGTACGCGGACTTCGTCTGCCGTGGATTCGTCAATTCGGAGACCAGCGTGGGCGCGGTGTTCGAGAAGAAGCTGCACCCGATTCCCGAGGCGTCGTTAATCATAAGCGGCTTTTTGAATCACAAGAAGCAACAGTTTCGCGTCGGCATCGGCCTGAATGTCGGATAGCGATTAATGTTCTTTGAGGTGATCTAGAATTACAAACGTTCGACGCCTCAAATTTTTAATGTCTCTGGAAATGTCGCGCCTTCACCCGCTATTAATTATCGCCCCTGATTTAGCCTAAAAAAACAAATCGAAACATTTATTAAAAATTGCGGCTCACATATCGCGGCATATTTTAAAACTCCATTGCACGTTTAAGAACTTTTTGATATGCACTCATTTTGACGTGATAAGAGAAAATATCTATGGCGCGGAAACCATTTATATTGTTAGACGGTTTTTATGGAATGCAAGTCTTTTTACAATGCTATCAAACGCAAATGTGTCATCTAATTTTAATTTCGATCACACTTATTAATATTTTATAGAATGTAATTTTACACTGAAATATATACTGAAGACTTTTATAATTACGACGCCCAACAATAATGTCTTTGATGATTTCTCATCGGCATCGTAAAAATAAGTTAATTGTTCTAATCGTCTCCGTTAGCTATCCGTTCGTCGAAATTATCTTGCTCCACATGTAACGACGCAGCTTTCAGTTTGAAATGTGCTTCAAACTTTTCACTTAGAAGTCCATATTCGTCGGCGTACTGTAAGATATCACAGATCACCGGTGATTCAACTCCCAGAACATATTCACAAGTTTTTGGTTCCAATAAAAATAACGACACACTAGACGGACTTGCTATCGTATGATTCTCCACGCATTTTAGTTTCACCTGAAACAAAGATAAATGATGAAGAAAGCGTACGAATAAAATTACTCAACAAATTAGTATAATATTCATTAAAAAAAATATTTTAGTTGAGAAAAAAATACAAAACTTATTAATTCAGATAAATCATTTTAAAAATTACTTGCGATAAAAATCTACATGATTTTTCATCCTTATTTAGAAAAATAAGATTTTTAAGAGAATTTACTTCCTCATCGCAATCGACAAAATTATGAAAATGAAAAGGCAATAACATGCCGTTTTCAAATTTGTAATAATAACGCGTACTTCAGTCTGCCTAGCAATTCCAGTCTTATCACAGCTACTTCCGTCACTGTAAAAGTGCGAAAGATGCTTCCTCAATTCTGGCGGTTTGGGTTTCTTGTGTGGATGCGCGGCGATCCACTCCAAGTGTTTCTGTTTGTCAAATCTACCAAGATTGACAATCGTCTTCGTGCCATCTCTTTCTACATGATATTGAACGACAGAGCGTCCATAGCAGAACTCGTACTTCCACCAGCCATTGCCCTAATAATGCATAAAAAACACCGTTAAGAAACGCTTGATAAAAATTAAATAAATAATGACTGCGAATACTTGCCCCGTGCAGACAATTCTTTCCACTGAGAAAATTTTGAACAGGACTAACTTGGGCAGGACTAATACTCTGATCAACTATCAAGTTGACAGGTTCATCGGCATTGTTATGTTTATCCGAAACATCCAGCGGATGTATCTCGACCCTAACTCTCTGCTCCCCATCCTGTAATCAATTCAATTCAATTAAAATAGATTCTTTGTAATGAACAATTAACATATGTAGAAGCACCATTTCTTACTTGATTTAAAAAAAAGATTATTATATTGTGCATACATACAATTAATATGCAAATTGTAGCATATAATGACATAACGAATCATCCAAACACATTCACAAAATGATTGTATATTGTTATCACAATATCAATGCTCGTTACTTTGTGAGAAGAATGATAAGGACATATATAACTCTATAATGTATGTAATGTAAGGATATGGAATTATGCATTTTATGATAATGACAACTTCACGAATAATAAAAAATTGAAATTTAACATTGGTGGAAAAAAAAAATGTTGAAGAATGTAGATAAAGAAGGGACAGAATGGAAAATACCATTTGCACAAGCTAATGATGCTACATAATGATCAACAAACGTTAATCCCGTATTCCTATATATGCAAAATATTCTGACCTGGCCTTCCTTATCTACATGGATGATTGCATACACTTTCTGCTGCTTGTCATCCTGTGCAACAAATAATTAAGAGAGTAAATAGTGAACAAACTGGAACGAGAAAAAAGAAATTATATGTTTAGTGTCTAAAACTAAAAATGTTAAGGAGAATGCTATTGCATAGGTTATTCCTCAAAATTATTCAAACTTTAATTAAGTTCCAAATGTGTTAGTTATCTGAAAGATAGAAATAATATTAAAAGCAGTCTTTCGTAGAGTTCTCAGAATATATAAAAACGTCGAAACACTCTAATATGCAAGATACTTATGCTACGTACTAAAAATATTTCTATCGCAGGCAAAAATTAATAAAAGAAAAGAAAATCACGAACTACTAACACACGTAATAAAAAGTACGTACACTTCAAAAGTTACAGAGAATCAAGGAAATGCTTAATAAGATATGGAATATAAGACAATACAGATAATAGATATTGATAAAATCATTAAAAAATTCAGGGAGCATCAAGTGCTCTTCGCATCTTTGATTTACCCTTGCTTGCTGATGTCGCATTTTTAAACTCTCTTGTTCCATCGCCATGAGCGACTTGGGTTTCTTTGGCGCATTACCGACAGGCTGACATGTGATCTCATTTTCTCCAGTGTCTGACGGTTTATAATCTGGATGAGCGCACAGTACCGGCGAAAGTACTATCGCTTCATATTCACAAGTCATTGTTTCCTTCAGCGAATACACATCGTGTTTACCATGCTTATAACAGACATATAATACCCTGATAATTCTCGGCTTGTTATTCAAATCGCACATTGTACCATCAGTCATCTCAATTTCAACATATGGCATATTGATTCCATCGATCTTCTTAATTGGTATATTTAACTTTCTACTGGGATTCTTTGCTTGCTCATCATAATAAGTAGAAAGTTTCATCTTTTGCGCTTTGTCCAAGGTACCAAGATAATATTCCTGCATTTTAATTTTCTTCCCCTCCCTGTCTTCATGATATTGCCGTACATATCTGCCATGGCACAATTCATAAGTCCAGTATGACTCTAGCTGCAAAAATTGAATCAATTTTGGGATAAAAAGTTATGTAACACACAATAATGCTAAATTTGTTAATAAAAAGAGATTGATAAGGGATCGATTAGTTTCTATAAACATGTACCCTATAGGAGCAACTATTTTGAGCAAATATTGGCTGCAAAAGCTGGACTGGATTTGGTCCGCTATACGTTTCACTGTACTCATGTTCCTGTTCCGTTGCATCAGGAATTATGCATTTATATCGTTCATTATTGGCTGTAGTTATAAAATATGGTTCCACATTCGGATGAGGTTCCTGCAATAAAAACAGAAATAGAACGTTATTTTTCTATCCAATAACGAGAAATACATCACACGCAGAGTCGAGTCAAGTTTAATTGCTCAGTGCACACTTACTAATAACTCCGTGTCACTCTTCCCAGGCCAGTTTATTTTAAATATAACCGTATCGTCGAAGTGCCGAAAGTCGTGTCCGTAAACAATAGGTATTAAAACACACAGTACATTGTAAATGCCCCAATGATTTCTCCACATTTTTCTCAACTATTCTATCATGTTTCGTTTCTCGCATATACGGACATGTGTTAATCGTGTTTAATTGACAACTGTGCCTTGTTTAATTACCCGCACCTATTACGACAAGTAGATGACATCGACAGGAACGAAGCAAATCAGCAAAAAATATTCTCAAACGTTTATTATCACGCTAGAATTTTCCAAGCTGATATCACACTAGTGCGATTGCACGCTTATTTGTCCAGCGAATGGATTGGTCGTTGAATAGAGAAATTTAGATTTTACTTAAAAAACCTAGAAGTTTTTGAACAGCTAGCCGATAGAGTACACAATGGTAAATCAAAATCTACCTTGAATTATAACTTTGTTTCCAAAACATGCTGGTAAAATTAAATTTTGGATGTATCGTGTATTTGCTATGCGATATGTCGATGATATTAGAAATCGCTATGTATTAATTTTTGCATAAAAAAGCGAAATCATGCCGCATAACACGCCAACCAATAGTCTCTTGATACGTGTCTATTATGTTTAGAAACCAGCAGGGTTGAACGTTACCAGCATTGTCGCTCGCGCGTGGCATTATCGAAATGTTTCCAGAATTTCGCCGCGAGATGTCTTCAAGATCGTCGCAGAGTCGGCTGTCGGCTCATGTCGTTCGTCTCGACGGTGCACGGCCGTTAATTCGTGACAAGAAATTCGGCCTGACGCATTGTGAGCTATCAGCGATCAGGTTTTTCCTTTGCGCGTTTACGATTCTGCACAAGAAGAAAAAGAACGTTTGAAAAACGTAATCTCCTTCGGCCGGAGAGCAAAACATGTCGGATACACGTCGACGTCGAAAATCCGATCAATCGTGCGGATCCGACGATCTCTCGGACTCGTACGAGGAGCTCAATGCGACAAAGGAAACCCAAGTAAGTGTTCGCTGAATGTTTTCCGCGATTGCGGGAGAAATCTCGTTTCTCCCGCATCGAAATATCTACTGTAAACCCATGTACGATTGCGTCACATGATGCTGCGTACGATCTGAATTTATCGCTCGTCAGTCGTGTGCGAACGCGACAGGCACGAGTTTACGATTATGCCGACTTGCATCATCGAATTGCCAATCGAGGACAGACTGTGATTAAATAGGCCGAAGTATTGTGATCGGTTATTATGAATTTTATTATCTCATCACTTAAATTATTATTGCCATGCTCGCTCCTCTGCTCCTTTGATTTATCAGTCGATAATTTTGCTAATATAGAATTCTATAAAAGGCCATGCGTTTGATGGCCCACATTTTTTATCTATATTTTCAAGCTCCAAAAGTGTTTTATTAAGAAGGTCCATTAACAAAATAACCTAGTGTTTGTTGCTTATTGAAGTCAATTTAGTTGAATGTGTCTCTTGACTTCTGTATGTACTGATATATCCAATATACATTCTGGATGGTTTGCAATCATTATCAAAAGTAAAATAATGAAGAACATAATTGTTTCCATTATTTGTTTAAAAGTTTGGATTATAAATAATTAAGAAATAATATGTGAATCAAGCTGAAACAAGATTTTATTTTTTTGTTAATATCAAGTAAGTTTTATCTTAATCACATTTAGTTTTAAACTTAATCGTAAAAATAATTATTAAGATCGATGAAAAACTATTATTTTTTTGCAAAATATTATCTCGTAATTTATTTTATTGTAGAGAAGAATTATAGAGACTAATTACAAAAAATTCACTGATATATATTCTATATTCATTTATATTCACAAAAATATATTAAAAACAACAAAGTATTATTTTATCATTTATTTGTGATTTGTTCTTTTAATTGGCTACAAAATTATTAATGAAAGCATTGTTTTTCTGTGTTTCTTTTGCCAACATGAGTAAATACTGAATTAACAATAGCTAATTGATGAATAGGATAAAAAAACAAGTACTAAATATAAACATAAAGAAAGAAATATTATGTAATATTACATATTATAATTAATGCTAAATGCATGTTAAAAATCTATTATATATTTATGCTTGAAATTGATACATTTTTATAAAGCTCTTGAGGACAACTAATTTAGACATGTCACTGTACTGACTAATCATTTTTCAACAGAGCAGCGAACAGACTGATGGACATCAAGATTCAGAATGTGACATTTACGAAAGTGACTCAGATACCGAATCACAGGAAGGTGGAGAATTGCGAGAAAGTGGGGACGGTCAAGAAGAAGAAAAACCACAGAAAAAGTTGGATGATGATGAGGATAGACGCAATCCACAATATATTCCTAAACGAGGAACATTTTATGAGCATGATGATCGTACGACTGACGAAGTAACTGATAATAACACAGAAGCACAAACAACTGTGAAGGAGACTAAGGAGAAAAAAGTATGGAAGGATAAAGAGGACAGGTGGGACCACGATCGATACAACGACGAAGAGCAGGCTCCAAAAAGACCCGAAGAATTGATAGCAACATACGGTTATGATATCAGAAATGAAGAAGGGCCACCTAGAGCTAGGAGGAGAAGAAGATATGGGTAAGTAACGTTTTGTTTCTCTTAAATTGTAATTTTGTTAAATATCACACATATTATGTACTTATTTAGCCGTGGACCCAACAAATACACAAGGAATTGGGAGGACGAAGACGCTTATGGAAAGACCACTCCTGGTAGAGGAAATAACAGACGCTTCTTTAAAAATAACGAAGATTTTCCTGCTCTTGGTAATAGTAAGGTAAATGTTGCGAAAGCTGTGATGTTATTTATCAAAATTAATTGTTACAATTTTACTAAATGTCTCTCTTTTCTACAGACCGCTTCCAATAAAGTAGAAGAGCCTGTAATTTCGTCAGCTTGGTATAGCAGCAAGAATAAAACACAGAGCAAAACGCAAAGCTTTCCGCCGCTTCAGTCCCAACAGGATAATACAAAAGCTAAGCCTACTACTGTCCCCAATACAGCCACGTATGTAGCAGTTATTTTTTTGCGCTATATTTACAAAACAGATGTCTCGATGAAAAAAAAAAACTCTAAGCGAAAATATTGTTACAGAAATGAAAACAAAATACCGGATGATCCTACTAATACATCTTGGAAAAAGGATGGCAAACATGCGGGTCAAAATCAAAATACTAATGGAAATGGTGGTGGTGATGCAGAAAAGTCAGCTAATACCAAATTATCACCAAGGGATAATAGCAAGAGGAACGTCCAAGAGTCTGTAAGCTTGGCCACGAGTAGGACGCGCGGAAGAGGTTTCAAGTCCAATGCTAATAACAACATGGTCACCAACAGAATAGTTGAGAATAAATCGAAGGGACGCGGTCCTGGGCCGGTTACAGTCGAGAATAGGAGAAACAATACTGCGCAACACAGTGACGAGCATCAGCTTTCTCATGACATGAAACAAGTCAACATTAACGATGGTAATCAATACCATCAAGCTGCAAGACATAACAGTGAGTTTTTATCAAATATAATAGTATCGTTAAATATATATATGTGTGTGTATATAATTTTTCACTTTCTTGACACTTTGTGACAGCAAGATCTATTTTAAAACAAATTTTTAATTTTCTAATATATATTTGTGAACAAATTAATTTTTAAATATTGTACAAAATAGTTAAATGGTGGAAAAAATTTACTTCGACAAAAGAATTTTTGTTTTAGTCAAAACTGTTATTGCAGTAGCTTAAGCTTACTAGATTTAGGTTAGATTAGGGCTTACACTGATTGTTGGATTGTCTGTAGATTAATCTTTATTTTTTTTCTTAATTTTCTGTAGAAGGCTTTTTTGCATCTTCCAATCAACATAGATCAAGTACAGTACCGCCTAGAATGCAGCAGCAACAATCACATCAACAACAAACGCATTCGCAACAACAAACGATACAACAACAGCAGCAGCAACCACAGCAACAACCTCAACAGCAGCAGCAGCAGCAGCAGCAGCAGCAACAACAGCAAGATGGTTCTGGAAACAGACCTAAACGATACTCCAGTCTTCGTCAGCGACCTACCATTTCTGAAACTTCCGCGCAACAAAATTATCCTTCTCAACATGCCCAGCATGGATATTTTCCACCTCAAGGTAATAATCCATATTTGATACATTTTGTTCTAAATTTACTTCTTATATAAAGTAATTACAATAAATGTATTTCGCACATTGCTGAATTGTTTCTTACGACATATATTCTTATATGATTTAATACAAACATATACTTAACATTAATATGTCATTTGTGCATACACATACGTAGCTGGAAATTCAAGAGCCGTTCTAGAATCACAAGGTAAGAGAGGAAAGTACATATATATATATATATATAAATTATTCTTTTATAAATAAATATCTGTTGAATCTTAAAATTATTAATAAAAATTGTTTAAAATATTACTAAATTGTATGGATAAATGGAAATTATTAATTTACATCAATTTTTCAATGATGATAAGACGCACAATGCCTTTTATGTGCAAATTTATTAGCTAATTAAAAATATTTTTAATTATTTGCATTTATTTTCAATTATTTCACTTCAATTTTAGTTTTAATCACACTTTTATTACATTTTGACTGATTTATCATACCGTTTCCAGGCTATCCGCAAGGTCACTTTGAACAGTCTCCCCCAGTCGCTCCAGCAGCAGCGCCCATGGCAGGGCAACCTGTTATTTCTTTACAACCTGGCGGACAACCTGGTAGTTACGCACCACCACCCTTTCTGGTGCCACCACCGCAATTCATACCACCTCCTCAAACGGCGCCTCCTAGTATAATTAATTACGTTCCTGGTCCGAACGGTCCAACATTTCCACCGAACTTTCAAGGTTATCAGGGATACAATCCTTCGGTTCAGGTGAGAATAATAAATGGATAAAGTAATCTTATTTTATATTTTACAAATTTCAAATCACACTACATAATATTTAAAAATTTTCTAGCCTCCAGGTCCACCGCCGCCCCAAGAGCTGTTCCAACCGCAAGGATGTACTTACTACAGTCCCGCGCAGCAGCAGCAGCAGCAGCAACAGGCGGCCCCTATACGACGGCCAAAAGCTGCGATACCTATTCTTCCGCCACCTGATAATCAGCAGACTAGCCGAGGAAGAGGTAGAAGCACTCAGCAGTATCAACAAAATAATCAATCTGCCGGTGGTGGTATGCAACTGACTGAAAAGGAAATCAAGATTGGTAATATTGTGGATAGTGACGAGAAATCTGTGCCAGGACAGTTCGACAGTGTGCAGATCGAGCAGTTGAGCACACCGGATGAGGAGTCCCCAAAAAGTCAAGCTCCGGATATGATCAGACTAGTGAACGACGCTGACGAGATGATAGAAACGAGCATCGACATTGATGCTCATAAAAAGATTGACGCACCGGCCATTCAGGAAATACAGGTGGACGATAACGTGAGTGTTAAAGAACTGTTAGAAGTAACGTCTAACGAAAAAAATACAGTCTCGCATAGTCCAACGGTGCTGGCAGCTGAGACTGAATGCGAATTAGGTAATATTGAACCCGCGATTCCCGAAAGTACTATTGTCGAAGAAACAGCAGCCTAAAAAGCGTGAGTATTATTATTTTCGCTTTACGTCGATCGTTTTTACCTTGGAATTATCGCAATTTGAACAGAATATCGTGTTATATTAATATGTGTGATGGAGAAAAGTTGCTGTTGCGGAAGCGTTTAAATATTAATAATGTAAAAATGTGGAATAATGATTGATATCTTTAATTATTCAATCATTATTAATTTTGATTATTTATTTTTAATGAAAAATAATTATTAACATTTAAATGCTTCGGGCACGCTTCGGGCACTGTATTTTTTCGCATACGCATCTTGAATGACCTGCAACGCAATACTCTGTTCAATCGTAATAAGTTTGAAGAGAAACTTTTTGTTCAAAACAGTGCATGAATGCGCTACATTGTATAATGGATCAGCAGATTCTAAAATGGTGTTCTTGATCGCAACAACACGCAGTAAACTATTTGAACTAGATATATTGTCTAGTACTATCTGACACATATGTATGTTACGATATATAGTTTTAAAGCCATTGATCTAATACTCCAGTCATATCCTATTATGGCGTTAAAAACGAAAGATTTACATTGCGTCATATATCCAGATAAATTAGTCGATTTGTATTTATATTATGAATTATTTCATATGTAAAAATGCAAAAAAACATGCAAAGCGAATATTTTCTATTTTATTTAGAAAGAAAAGCTTTACTTGGATATAATTGAAGGAAAAGGTTTGCACGATCTCGGCTTTCACGTCATAATCCGACATGGCTTCAGTCACGGATTACGCTGCTTTAAAAGGCTATTCACAATTGTTAGGAGTAAAAAAAAAGTTTTTCAAAGAATCGAGATACGCCAATGATAATATTAATTACGAGTTTCACGCATGTGAAAAGAGAGCGTATTTAACTTATGGTAACTCTAATTCATATTTGTAATAATATCTAAATAGCAGCCTTATAACGCTGACATTATTATTGCCTGGTATAAAATAACTGATGATTTTTTCATATGCGAAGTCTACTTATAACTGGTCACTATTTAGCGAGGAACAGTATCGTGTACTAATGTAATATACTCGGCAGGCTGCGTGGGCCATGACTGTGACACGATATGTAACTGATATAATTCTATATACATATACTTTTTCAATGTTATGACTACTTACAGTGCAGAAATGTTTGTAATTATAATATTAATGAAATACATTTCATTGAGTAACGCAAATGTGCATCTCTTTGCCATGTGTGTAGAAATAAATTTTTGTTTTTTTTAGTACGCAATCAGGAAAATTTAATTTTATGAATACGTCTTCTCTTTCCCTCTGCTTTCTTTACGCATTTCTGCACTCCTTCCTCACGTTTCTTCTCATTACTCGAAAGGACAGACGGACTACGTTAGTTTTACTTTGCAGAATAGAAAGCGTGAGAAAGCACAGTCGGAATGAACAGATCTACTTACACGCTTTTCTTTTTTTATATTATAATAAATCTCTTTCTTCATAATATTTTATTTACATTAGATTTTCAAATTGGCCATTTTCATAAATCCTAGTGAGATACAAATTGGCCATTGTCACAAATAAAAGTGACAGTGATTTCTTTTTTCTTTTATGCTATTTAAGATACGAATGTTAAGGTCTGAATCGAATATAGTAGAGCGCTTTTGAAATGAAAAGATATTATTTTGAAATAGATTAAAACACAGAGCGCATTAAAGTAAAAATAATCAATTTATTTCCTTTTTAACTTATCATGCTAATTATAGAAGTATACAATACGACGGCGAAGTTGTGCAAAGCCTTAAAGAAACAAAATTCTATTAAAAGAAACTTTTACTAGACAATTTATATATGATGAACAACATTTCTGCGTAATAAAAATGTAAATTTCCGTGCAAAATGAATTGAGGAAGAATACGTCATTCGCTGTAGCATATTGTACAGTTTATAAAACAAATACCATATGTAGCTTTATATAATAACTTTAAGATATAGGATTACATACACTTTATTAAACTTTGTAGATATATTTTGATTGATATGTTCAAATGTATTATAGAAAATAAATAATTACAAATGACATAAGAGGGAACGTATTGAGATGCTTTAAATTTGCCAGATAGATAGAATACAACGCTTTATATTTATACTTGCGTTTTATTCCTTTAAATTTTATTATTGTGTTTAAGAGTCTCCACTTTCAGTTATCGTTCTGTGATGTGTACATTGTTATCTACATATATATCTACAGTATAATAAAGTAAAATGTTTAAAGCAACACACTCGACGGTATATTGTGCGGATTTATAATTTACAATAGCCTATTTACATAGCAGTTCAGCACAGTATAAGATTTAGTTTATCTCAATTCAACAAAATTTAAGGAAACATTTCTTGAATGAGATACACTTATCCATATAACAGTATATAGGAACAATTTGATTTCATCTAAGGATACTCTGGCAATTTTACAGAATTATCGCTATACAAAGTGTCCTAAGCTATTAGATGTTTTTTTTTTTAATTACATTATTTTCTTTGACCAATCCAGGTACAATTTTCTCTCAAAAATGAGGAAGCAAGGATCTTTAATACTATGTAGAATGTGTGGAGGAATATTGAATACTGTATATATAATTTTGTCAACTTTAAATTAAGACTCTGTTCGAGTTAATTTAAAATTGGCTAAAAAAAAGATGGCTTTTATGTATTTTTTTTTCTTTCTGAAGCTTAGTTTGTTCTAAAACTTCTATTTCTAATTGTTAATTGTTCAAAAAAAGTATAGATGCTTAAATATTTTTTTTTAAATTGGTCAAAAATCTATTGAAAAGAACATCCGGTATATTTTAGAGTAAAGATACTCTGAAGCATGATTATTCTTGTTTCTCAGTTTGCGGTATATTAACTATAGCACTAAGAGGTATGACTTCAGTACTCTGTCGCACATTATTATTGTTGGATAATGTGTGCATTGATCTTGTGTAAGTCCGAGATCTCAGTTTAGAGGGATCCGAGATGCCTGGGACTCCACGTTTATGGACGCAACTTCTACTATCGTGGGAACATCGGAAAGTACGTTTAAACTCTTTGCGAAATTTTCCTGTAACAAATTACATAAATATTTAGATTACAACGTAAAATGTAAAATGTTATATGGAGTGCCGAAAAAGATACATAAATTATACACAAAAGATTTACATAGTATAAGACTGGATTAAATCCCTGATTTTTATCATTTTTCTTTATAATATAGTATTAATATTTAAGTTTCAACAAATATGATGGATTTTCTAGCATAGAAAAGTAAGTCCACTGCAAAATTAATAGTATAAAATATGAAACATGCAAGAGAAGTAAAATATACAAAAAATTTATGATAGAATTTAAATATTCTGTATGTCAGAAATGACACAGAATATTTTGGAGATCTGTATGTTATTTAGAAAGTTAATCTTAATAAAAAATAAATTATTTTATTATGCTGGAAGAATTAGAGCAAATAGAAAGAAACAGTTTAATTTTCAAATCACACAGTTTCTAAATTTCGAAGATTAGATATTTAACTTTACAAACGTCTGAAATATTTTATGTGATTTATTTGAATGTCTACAATTAACAAATAATTTAGAAGTTTTGTATTTGCCGCGCTTTTAAATACTATGAAATATTTCAAATCTAGTTCCCATTTTAAAGAGTTACTGTGATTGGCCTGCTGTTTCGACCGCTTCGGAAATACACAACTTCACGCCAGCAGTAACGCAACGCGTAGTGCAACGAATCGCGGAATCGCGTGCAAATCGCTCTGTATTTTCCGCGATTATCATCAATTAAAAATAAATTTCCGCGCGCAAAGTGTTACCGAAAGTGTCTCATAAAACTCGTCATTAACGTAGATACCGTGTATTATCATTATTATACGCCTACATCACGATTTCGGTATTGGCTCGATACATTCTCTCAGCAAGCGAATCGAAATTGTATGTTTACATATTTCAAATTCTGGAGTGCATCGAAAATGTAATTAGCCCATCGCCAGGTATATGCATTTTCATTGTTGCATTTGATAATGTACTTTTTGCAATAATTCATTATTCTGAATATTTTTAATATAATTATTGAAATATTTCCCATATTTATTTTCTTGTTTCCAAAACTAGTTTTGGACCGCAGTAGATCGTACAGTGCTTTTTGCGTTGGTATGTGGTTTTTCGCGATTACTGTTGTAGATCGTAATTATCTTCGATCGTAATGGCTTCATATATTTCAAATTTTCACTGAAAGGGTGAAAATGCATTTCGTACACAATTATTATCAGGTTATACACATCGTTTTAGCTATATCGACTACAATTTCGTAATAATTTACTACATATTTTATCATATCCAATATTTGCTAAAATATTTTGAATTTTGCTTCTATATTTAATATCAAGTTTTAATTGCATTTATCGTGCTCGTTTTCTTCGTTTTTTTTCTCTGTAGATATATGATCGTAGCACTGGGTTGGTGAACAAAAAGGAGTGGCAACATCATAAAATAAAAATCGCGAAGTCAATTTTTATCTTACAATGTTGCAATCTTTATTTCACGACAGATATGTGTTCGTTTTCATTGCGTGTATGACATGCAGTAAAAATGAACAGATCTAGTTGCTGCGTCATGATTGGTTGAGCGCTTTAACTTTATCGACAATTGTAATCTCGCAGTTAAAGATTTTGAATCAGTTAACAGAATTCAGTAACGGAATTTCGCGGCGGAAATTCGAGCCATTGTTATTTCTCGCTATTATTACTGTCTAATAATGAATCTCTGTCTAATAGTAAATTTTCGGAAGTGTTTTATAGAGCATTCGTCGTAACATAAATATCGAGTAGAGTCATCAACAAATATCGTAAGTCGAGTATCGATGATGGATCGGTGACATTTTATATTCGGAGAGTCACAACGCCATTTTTACGTGCTTCATCTACTCCACGTATCATCGAAAGTAGAATTGATGAATAATCATTATCAGGTATATACTGAACGTTTCTATTCTGTAATTAACTGTATCTATTGCACTTTCTGTATAATAATTTTATACAGGGTGTTTCATAATGTCCGTGCCAACGTTCGTCTGCGGATAGAGTGCGGTAAACTGATAGAAACCGATAGAAAAATCCTTTACCGTTTTGCAATTTTTGCAATAATAATTAAGTAATTAAAAAGGATTGACGAATAATCGCGCGTTGCACGCGGCTAGACCGTAGGCTGTACACTCTAGGCGTGACAGCAACGAGGACGGTAACGCACAGTAATGAAAATTAACACGTTACTCCTGCTCTCGCCACGCGTTGTCATTTTTCGTTACTCTGCGCGATCCTCGTTGCTGTCACGCCTAGAGCATACAGCCTACCGTCTAATCGTACGCAACGCGCGATTATTCGTCAATCCTTTTTAATTACTATCTCAATTAATTGAGATAGTTCGCAATAATAATTATTATTGCGAAAATTGCAAAACAGTAAAGGACTTTTCTATTCAGTTCACCGCACTCTACCCGCACACGAGTGTTGGCACGGACATTATAAAACACCCTGTATGTAAATTGACTTCGCGATTTTTATTTTATGATGCAACCCTTTTTGTTTACCAACCCAGTGCTACGATTATATATCTAAAGAGGAAAAAAAACAAAGAAAACGAGCACGATAAATACAATTAAAACCTGATAAATATAGAAGCAAAATTCAAAATATTTTATACGATCCAATATTGGATCGATATATTGGCAAATATTGGATACGATCAAATATGTAGTAAATTATTACGAAATCGTAGTCGATATAGCTAAAACGATGTGCCTAACCTGATAATAATCGTGTACTAAATGCATTTTCGCCCCTTCAGTGAAAATTTGAAATATATGAAGCTATTATGATTGAAAATAATTACGATCTCTACAACAGTATTTTCAAGCAGAAGTGAATTTTCCACATAAAACATTACAGCAAATATTTCGTGTAAAATATTAGATGTTATATCATATTAAACATCAAACGCAGTCACTAATCAATATCATAATTTCAGAATCAACGATATCAATGATTTACTTCTGCGTGGAATTCTGGAATTCTGTGCGGAGTTCTGGAATTGACGTGACCTTTGCAGAGCTTTGTAGAATATCTCAGGATTTTGTAGGATTTCACGTCATTATTTATTAACGTCAAAATGTGCAGCGAAAGTACAATTGATATATATATCCAGGTATGTGCATAATCGTCTATAATCATTTGAGTGGATATTATATTTCCTGCATTATAATTACTAAACATGTTATTGTCATAAATAATTATATAATTATAACAATAATTATATTTCTTTTAATAAGCTATGTAAAAGATAGATTATTATCTCTGAAATTATTATCCTTTTTCTATCTTAAGAGGGACTTCTACTTTGCGGAACAAAAAAAGGTAATTTTTGGAAATTTTTAATAAAAAACCTACTCGACACATTGATCTCAAATTTGGCAGGTTAATTTATTATATCTTTCACAATATTAATAAATGTTTATATCTGAAAAAAAATGTAAAATATAGAAGATAGAGAGCACTAGGGACCTTTCAGAAAAGGAAGACGCGATTTTTTTAAACGTCCCTATTGAGCGCTCTGTATCTTCTATATTTTACATTTTTTTTCAGATATAAATATTTATTAATATTGTGGAAGATATAATAAATTAACCTGAGATCAATGTGTCGAATAGGTTTTTTTATTAAAAACAATTATTAAAAGGTTCGGCTCATAAAAAATTAAAATAATAAAACAGGAGGATCAAGAGCCAATGCAGAGTTTTGGTTGCAATGTTAAAATCCTCTTTTATTCAAAGTGTTCAATGGTAACTTTACCATTCAACCATTACAACCATTGTAACCAAAACCCTGCATTGTCTCTTGGATCCTCCTTTGTTTTATTATTTTAATTTTTAATTAAAAATTTCCAAAAATCATTTATTTTTTTGCTCCACAAGCTAGAAGTCCCCCTTAATATTTGGAAATATAGCATTCATCTCAAATAATACAATATTTCATGATTATTATATAATTATGTGTTTACATGTGGCTAAATCTGAGTCGATACATGACCATGCAAAACTATGGTTATCTATGATTAACCATGTTAATTAAGAATCTCATCTCTGAACCCCCAAGCCTATCTTGATGTAATCATAAAATCTTTATTGGATTTTTGATAGTGTTTTGGAGTTTGAATGTCATGGATGTCAATGATTGATGTCTATCAAATCAATACTAATTATAAGAGGGAGATCAATAACTATCGTATTTACTATAGCTCACCCTAAGCACGATCGATTTAACGAGCCCCGATTTCCGAATCCGTTCTCATTCCGACGTCGAACGCTGTCTCGGCCACGACACTCGTTCGTGCAGGTACGTCGAGGTGTATTTTCGTCGATTTCCACGATAAACGATTTCCTCGTTCCGCCGCGTGTCAAAACGGTTGTGTTCGCACGCTCGTGCCGCAGCCCTTCGTGTATTCGTTGCTACATGTCAGCAGATGCCGGCGGGCGGCCGGCAGCGTAATCATCTGCTTGCTCGGCGAACCGCACTCCCGAAAACTACGACGGAACTCTTGCCGGAACTTACCTGCAAAGTAGAGCACCGTATAATTCCGAGTGACTCGATTTAGCGAGCTCGTTGACGACGTGTGCGCACGGCCTTGTTATGCTTAATTCCGAATTCCGTATCACACGTTTAACTCTTGTTTTGCATAAACCGCCCGTCTGCGGTCCATTAAAAACTTACGTCTCTTTCCGCGCGGAAAACTTTTCTATTTTTTTTTTTCCTCAATGTCTTGCAATTTTAAAATATTTAATAATCTTATGACATCACATATGCGTGTGTATGTATAAAATATAAAATTGCAAGAATTTATTGTTTTAAACAATTTTATATTCGTACTTGCGAAGAACGTATATATCCTTAATGGACTTGTGCTGTAAGGTTTAATATGATATATAAACTTTATAAGAACTAGCTGCAGTAACGAGAATTTAACTTGTAAAATTAAATAGCTAATCTTCGAAATCGGAAATATCAGACTTTATAACTGAATTACAATTCCTCTCTATTATTTCTAAAAGCAGAAAAATCTCGTGAGAATCGTAAAAAAATTCGCACTTTTTCTGCTCCCTTCTTTGTATTCTTTCAACATAAAAAAAAAATTATAGAAATTCTTCGATTCTGATTAGTTTCAAATATTTGTTGCCAAGAATTAAGTTACATTCGATAGTCAGAAAACACATTCGTTTGCGGTGTGCAGTACCGCATAAATTCATTCAGTGTCTAACGGACTTCGCGGTTTTTTACAAAGCGAAAAAAAAAACGGAATGAAATTTTTGGCAAGCGTAGCCGCGAGAGTTAATTCGGCGTGAAGAACGGGCCGGTTTTACACGCCGAAACAGCAGCCGAAACAACCAAGCATGCGAGTGCATTGCGTGCCTCCGACGCGTCATGCATTTTAATAGAAGTCTCGTCGTACATTTGGTAATCTTGTGTACGCCTGTGCACATAAAATAGTACCGCGCACATCCGTACAGGATATCCCGCAGTAAATCTGGTTAAACTCTCGAAGTCGATTTTTTTTTTTTTTTTAACAAGGTTCAAGACTCGTGCTAGAGCTCGTGGCATTAAAAGCATCGATTAGTAAAGGCATATTTTTTACCGCTCATAAAATTATAGATGACAGGATTCACCGCGCTGTTGAAATAGCAAAGCCAATGGGCGATTAGGCTAAGGGCGATCGTCCACTGATTTGATGGTAATGTCATGGTACATCTAAAACAGTAAATTCGTTCATGTTAACCGCGAATAATGTAATTGTGTCACATTAGTATAATAATATACGATTTGCCATTGTGGATTTGCGATAAGGTAATACACGGTGGAGTGAAGTGAAATTAAATTAGTAGGTCAAATGGGGGGGGGGGGAAGGGTGCTTGTTTTTATGAAAAACATTACAACAAACAACATAATATGTTGTTAAAAACGCATTTAGCAAGTTGTTTAAAACATTCAACTGTTCAATTTTATTCCTGGTTTCTTTTAACTCTCACGAAAATAAGTCGATACTCGTGTTAATTCATTTATTTCACGTTTCTTTATATAGAGTGTCCCAGATTTAGCCGATCTTTTATCTACTTCTTTGATTGACTTGGAATCAATATTTTCTTAATAAAAGATATCCGACACGATGGTTTTAAGTTAGACATAATAAAAATGGGAAATTTTTGGACTGAATCATAGTGAAAGAATCATAAAAATAAAAAACGGCTACGTCTGGGTTTCACCTTGTAGAGACCATTTCGTGATAAAAAAGCATAAAAAATGATAAAATATGATACGAACAAATATAATTTATATCATATCGGAAAAGCCTTGGCGAAACACCTGCGTTCCGAAAAACTGGAGGTATCATAAACATAAAACCATTTCTATATTTCACGTTTACGTATTTTTGTGAACCGATTATTGCCACTTACAAAGTCGCTTACGGGATCCTATGCGATTAAAGCATATGCAAAGGCAATGAGCCTTAATGATAGTGGTACTTTGATTTAATACAGTGTTTCATCTGATAATATCGCTTTTCCGAAATTAATAAAATATATATCGATAAAATGTCATTTTATATATTATATAATCTTGATGCAATAACAATGCAGGTTTCTCTATCGATTTATATAAAATAATGACAAAATTCCACATAGATAATTATTTAAACGTGATAATTATATAATGTATTAAAACACATTAGCGAAAATTGTGCGCAAGATATTAATGTTATTGTGATACTACATGAGAATATAATAATATTGCAAATATCGCGAAACGCACCTTAGAATAGAGAGCAGATGCACTGGAAAGAAACATATTGCGAATGTAGCGACTACGGCGACTAACATCTTCGCTGCCTTCCGTCGAGATCTTAATTGACCTTCTGGATTTCCACCTCCGGAAAGTGGAATCTCGGTCGAATTGCAGATTCTGGTGGACACTGCAAAATTCAGTAGTGATTAGTTAATGAATTATTTTATGTTTCAAATAAATCAACGTAAAATACATTCTGCTTTCTGAAAGGCTCTTTCTCAATTTCGACAAATTTCTTAAAACTCCATTTACATATTTCATGTTCTAATTAAGAATTGTTTTTTGCAAAATTCAATAATTCTACAAAATTAGAAATAACAACATAGATGGATTTATGTATTTTAAATTTTAAAAAAAATTTAGCTTTTTGAAGAACGATAGATTAAAGTTGTATAAATATTTAGATAACAAATTTGGAAGTATATGAATTAAGGAAATATATACGTTCTGTTTGGTAAATATAATAAAAAAACTCTGAATTGATCCTCAAATATTGTCCTGTGAAAAAAAAATCGAAGGTATGCAATTGTCGCGGCATATACTTCAATAGCAAGTATAAATAACGAAAAATATCGTAAATTTAAAGAAATATGCGTTGCATTTATGATACGATTTTACCATTCATTAAAAACATTTAATTTTAAAATTGAAATTAATAATTCAATATTAATATTAATAAATGGTAAAATCGTGTAAATCATAAATACAACGCATAATTTCTAATAATATTTCTTTAAACTTGCGATATTTTTCATTATTTATACTTGCTACTGGAATATATGCCGCAACAGTTGCACATGTTTAATTTTTTCACAAGATAATATTTGAGGATCAATCTATTAAATCTATAATTTTGTTTATTGAAAAAAACTTGTTGAGAAACTTCTTGTTGATAAGTTAACAATTGCTTGCAAAAAAACCTAGTACAAAATTCTTAAAACTGAGAAATACGAATTATATATGAAATTATATGAAATATATGAATCAATACGTTCTTAAACAAAAAAAAATAATGTCTAAAGCTCATAAATCCACATTTTGAAATATAATCCCGATAATCTGACCACTTCTCTCATTACCGAGATCATACTGTATTTCAAACTGGGATTTACATCGTGTCACAAATGAAGCAGCTTATATTGTAATCTGAACATTGATGATGCTTCCAATTTCAATCAAAATCGATTTGTCATCACAGATGATCGGGTAGAATTTCATTGGACCATTCTGCGTACCATTTATACGAAATTGCTTATAATCCCACATAAAATCTGTTCATAGATTTCCAATGAACTTTACTAAATATAGAGCTTTATTTATTAGACTTTTAACTTGTACACACGAATAATTGATTCTTTTAATAATACCCTGTTTTGACATAAAAAAATGCAAGTTATATAATTATTTTAATACGTTTATATCATAAGATTTAATAAAAAATTTTTAGTAAGGCTTTGCGTGATTGTCACAATCAATAATGGTTGTATAGAAGCAAAAGAACTAAAGCAAGATTTTTCTTCGTGTATATCGTTTTTATATTCCAATCGTTATATCAGTATTTCGTTATATCAGTATTTATGTCAGATAATCCTTAGTGTCTTTACAATCTGTCGCATTTAGAATGTTTATAATGCACATGAATGTTCAAATCACATATATTTATTCGTAGTGCAATGTAATTAATTTCTCTCTTACAGTTTCATATGCTATTATATATGTTAAGACAAAATTTGCATCATAATTTTCAATGGAAT